ATACAATAGGAAAAACTGGTTTAGACTACATGGAGATTCTAAATATACCCAAGAGCTCAGAGCATTGTTTTCTAGTTCAACATACTTCTCTCTCAAATTCTGCAATTCTTTCTTCATATCTGCATCTTCAAATTCTGAGTCATTGTCACTGCTCATATATGACGACTGTGAATGGAAAGTTGTTATATTGATAGTGGGAATTTTTGCTCCCTGACCATTAGGGGATTCCAGGCCTTGTGAAATGGTCTTTCCAGATCTTTGCAGAAAAGCAGTTGCTTTTTTTATTAAGTCACTGGCTGCAGTAGTACTCTGCATGGAGGGCTGAGCAGCAAGAGATTGGTGTTGGAGAGACTCATCACCAGAATCGCTGGAACCACGGTCATAAAAAACATCGACAGAAGAGACTGTCTGCACTCTTCGTACTGAAGTCTTCAGATCAGGGCTGGAGGGAAGCTCATCCAAATAAACATCTGGTGGTGCAGAGAACCTTAAGCAGTGTGGTGATGTTAAAGTTAATTCATCCTGTGTGCTGATCACAGAAAACCTGCCAATAGTTTTGGCTGGTGTACTATTTTCAGGCACTTCAGTCTGCTTTCCACAAGAACCAGAGTCACTTATCTCCCCATCTACTCTAGGTGCCTGTATTAAATTCTCTGTGGGTGCAGATGGAGTTATGGTCTTTGCCTTCTCATTTGCTTTGGAAGTTTCCATCTGCTCAGCAATATTTGAGGATGCAGATGCAGCCTGGGAAATAATGAGAGAGATTAATTTTGAGAATAAGTGTAACAAGCACAAATAACACTCCTTATAGTTTCATATTACCTGAGGAAGACCTTTTGTTGTTGTAGCAGCAGAAGTTGAAGTAACGCTGGCAGCAGAACCTGTTTCATTAATGAGGGGAGAGGGGGAACCAAAATGAGAAAATAAATATACATCTGGAAGATTTTTTGTAATAAAAGTGAACGTTAAATTAGCTCCAAAAGTTTGCACTGGTTCAGTATTAAATGCATATAAATATAGAATCTAGGAAGTCAGGATGTCAAGGTTTACTTCAACATTTAACAAGCCACAATGGAGGCGATATAAAATATTGATGATTATAAAAACAAACTTAGTCTACTGATCTGGGCAGTCCAGACAATGAGAAGTTCGTGGGATTTAATTATCACACTGGAAAAGTTTTCTGGAAGAAGAAAAAAGAAAAATCTGAGTATTCAATGCTGAGCTCATGCTGTTAAGGTACTCTTGAGAGCTGGGCAAATAGCTGTCCAAACACTTCAATGAAACAGTATCCATAAAACAAGGTGGCTTTGACCACAAATGGACAATCTTAGTTCACATCTTTTATCTGACAGGTATCTATGGCAATAGCTTCTAAAAAGTCCCTGGATCAAAGTTAAAAACACTATCCTGATGAAAGTGTTAACTGTAAACAAATGTGATGGTAATGGGGGAAACATTTCTTTGGTCATATACAAATGATAAAAATGCAGCTTCCAGGGTATCTTATTTCTTAAGCTAAACCAAAGAGTGTCAATTGTTTATGAATCTATTTTCTTACTATGAATGATTCACAGTGAACATGAGGTGAGAATTTGTCATTTCATGGTTCTGAAATAATGAAGTACATGCATCTATCACACCAAATTTCTTTGGGCACCAAATATGAAAAAAAAAAAGTATAAAAACTAAGGTGTGACACTGTTTTGAAACTCATACAAAAAACTTAGAGCAGTGTCCTTACACTAGCCTCAGACCAATACAACTGCATTAGTTTAAGTGAATATCTGATTATTTGCATCATCCTAAAAAGTTCTCCTTAAATACATTTCAGACAGAATGTACATCTTCCTGGAAGTAACTGGGGTTTTGAGCTGTAGTCCAGGCAGATCCTGCAGCAGATATGTATGCACAAACACTACAGCTTTTCTGTTTTTGAATAATCCTGTGCCGCTTCATGGTCCTGTATTAGGGTATAAAGGACAGGGAAGGTTCCACACTTACTCAGTGGCTTCACAGTTCAGATTATATGTTGCAGAGGGCTATGAAGGTAAGGACAGAGGGTAGTTTATGTGGATCCCACAACCTGCAACACCCCAGAGAACCACAGCTACTATAAAAGTCACTTCTCTCTCTTCTTTATGTATGTGTCAGAGTGGATTCTATAGTAGGTAATTAGAAAGTTGTGTCCACCGTGGGGATCAAGGCATATCAGTCAAATAGCGATTGAGGTTATCCTCCAGATTTAGCATCTGACTTCAGTATGATGTCAGATGGCTGTTATATGGTTCAGCCATGCAAACTTAACCCAAGAAGTGTTACAATCCAATGGTCCATGTAGACAAGCATCCTGTCTCTGATAAAAACAAACAGTAGATGCTTTAGAAGGAGAATAATACACCCTGCCATACCCTTCCTGGTATCAGCTACCATTGGTTTAGGAATGTCAGTGGATACATCCCTGACTATTCTATTTAATAGCTATCCAATTGTTTTTTTGAACACTTTTAAGCTATACAGACTGTGGAAGCTGAAAAGTTCCTGGAGTCTTCAGTCTACTTCAGTGAAGTGCACCTTGATGTTCGGAGAGAGGCTCACCTGACATTAGGAAAAAAGTGGAAATGCATTGTAAGAGACACTTAATCCATTCTCTGTGATGAGACAGCTTGGCCTTCCAAAGGCCAAGCTCTCAATAGCTATAAAACGTGTGTGGAGGCAGCTGAATAGGGGTTGGTCCTGCTAGGGTACAGCAAAACTCTTTACATGTTCAAAGTATGAGGTGCTGAGCTGCTTTGAGAAAACAACTAACAAAAGAACTCTTCTGGGTAAGCTCATGCTCCAGTCCTCACACTATGTTGTACCTTGATAAAGATGCTTAAAGAAGTTCAGATATGAAGACCTAGGGTGCATACACATGTAGTAAGTTTCGGATAGTTAAGTCGACTTAACTCAACTTAAAATGTCAGAGCATACACATACATGTAGAGCAGAGTAGACTTAAATGTGGTACAAGATAATACATTTCTAAGGTGTATTATCTTGAGTTGCATTAGTGTCAACTCTTAAGTTGACTTAAAGTACATGTGTATGCTAAGTTGACTTAACTTGTTCCAGCACTCCCATGCCCCATGAACCCCTGGGGCAATCACTTCCTTATTCCACTACCTGCACCGTCTGAAACTACATGCCTGTGGTGTGCTTAGGCTCCTAAAGGCGCACACAGGCAACAAGGCCAGCTGCTGCCAGTCCCAGGTAAGTCAGTCCCTGTCTTGAGTAAGTGGCAGCAAGTGGTGAGGGGTGAAAGGGAGGAACTCGAGGCTTCTGGAGTTTTTCGGGCTGGCCCCCTGTGGACACCTAATGCCTGGCCAGGGGTGGACCTGAGGCCCATCTGCTACTAATTCCATGCTCCTTTCCAACAGGTCCACCATGTTGGGATGGCCTCACAGGACTCCAGTGCTGTCACCTGCTCTGATGCCCCAGCTTCTTGTAAAGATCCTTCCAGTCCAACCCACCAGCACCTGAACTGGGAGAGCAAGGAGGTGTTCCACTGTGAAAAGTAGGTCTTCCTAGAGGACAGCTTCTTGCTTGCATACATCTCCTGTATAATATTAGGCAGGTTGGGAGACTGTCCAAGCAACCTCTTGCATTTTTCTGACAGTCAAATTCTCAGACAGTGAGAATCTGTCAAGATGGTCACTGCTTTGTACCATCTCATCTTGGAACTTAGCTTGGGAATTAAAGTAAGTGTTCTTAAGGCTGCCTTTTTTACAACTGGAGGAGAAATACAAAGGGAGTAAATGTCTGGATATTGTGTGTCCTCCTTGGTAAACAAGCTTAATATAGGCATGCCATCCCCCCTTCCATCGAACACTGGCTTTAGGACCAACATCTGCAGCATGTACAGCTGGTTATCACATCTGCTAGGCAACTGACCTGTAACAGGTTCAGTTCAATGAGCTTATCCCAGGGTGACGGCACCAAATCCGTACCCTGACAGCTTCCTGGTAGGGAAAGGATGACTGAGCAACTCTTTGCTTGCACTGTCCAACAAATTTGCACTGTGAAGTTCTTTGGAACAGACATGAAACACTATACAGGCCAGCCTCATGGCCTTAACTCCAGGATAGTCTCAGGAAGTTTTAGGTCATTTTAAAACCATATTCCTGGCGTCCTCAGATGATTCAAGTACACAGCCCTGCCTGTCCCTCTGCATCTAGGATACACCTCACTTTTAGGAGGTGGCAGAGTAGAGAACAATACTTGTTCAGACATCAACAGTTCTAGCTATCAAGTGGTTTTTTTGGGGGTGGGATTTGAGATGAGGCTGTGGCTCTCTTGATATTCTTGCTCATGTGATGAAGCTTGGATGAGCAGAATACAGATCTTAACCATGGCTACAAGGGCCTGAAATGAAGTCCCATACATATATTTCAGTACATAGCCTAAATATTGAAACATGCAAGAGACTGGAATCTGTCCTCTGGCAGGTATATTTTCACAAACTCTGAGTCAATCAAAGCTCCTGCAGATTCTGCTGTGAAAGATTATTTCTCTTAGTTTACAAATCCTGGCTGTTGTTGTCTCCTAGTAATTTAGGTGGGGGGAGGGGAATATAGATCCCCTGATTCTTTAAATATGCAGTCATTACTGCCAGATGGCAGTCTGACAGGCAGAACCCTGTAATCTGTAATGCTTGATCTCACTGTCCATTTTATGTACTCGTTGTAGGCCAAGTGCATGCTGCATGCTAAGAACCATTATCAAGAGTCAAATGCTTGGAGAGAAAGAATGATGTAGGTTAGCATTACTATACCATATATGACATGGAAACTCAATAAATATGTATGTCACAGGTCTAGGATAGGACAAAACTTTCTCTCCCCTTCAGAATGGGAAAAATACTACAAAACTTTGATGGAACTACCCCAATACCACAAGTGAACTAAGGAAGCACCTTTTGCTCACAACAGGTTTCTGTAAGAAAGAAAAACATGGAAAGATTAGCAGGGAGTTAAACACGGAACTGGAATGGGTAGTCAATGACTATAAACTCTGTCCAATGCCATGGGGCTCTTTACCTGGTGCAATGAAGACTACTTCTCACTCTCTGGACTGGATCTGATATGGCTCCTGAGAATTCCATCAAATGTACTGAGGCATCATAGGAGAGAGGTGCACAGGTGGGTGGGGAGGGAAGAGGAAGAAGGCTGGCATCCACAGCTGTACCTTGATGATTTTTGATATGGCACTTGGATTGCCTTGGGTGGTAGAACAGCATCTGCTGTCTGAACTGGGGTTGCTGAAAGTCAGTTTATGGTATGCAGCCCAAATGCCCAAAGAGCATCAGGGTTAGACTTTTGCACAGCCCTGACTAAGTTCACTAAGTGGTCCTGTGACACCAAACAACAAAGCCTCAAATCATGGCCTGTATCTCTCTCAGGCAACACTGTGCCAAAGCCACAATGCTCTACACACTGTCACCACAATGGTCACAGATCATTACTGACTAACCACTGTCCATCCTTAACTATGTCCTTGAACTCCTCCCTACTGTCACATAAGGGAAGGTATAACCACATCCTCAGTTAAAAAGCATACCTGACCATTAAGTTTGACAATTAATCAACTCCAGCCATAAGGGTACAGAGATGTACAACTTTCATCCAATTACTTTAAATTTTTGGGGTTCCTCATCTTACTGTACTTCCATTTTTCCTTTGCAGCTGGCATGAAGCTAAAACACTGGAAGGATCTCATACTGTTTTTCTCTCCATTTTGCAGTGGGTGTTTGTTTTAGCAACAATATAATCATTATTGTAGCTGACACTTCCCACAATGCTGAGTTGAGCTGTCCATTATTTATAGTAAAATTGATCTTGGCTAGAGCAGAAGCTGACAAAGATATCAAATTGCTCATGAAGTTTCTCTCCTGTGACCAGCATCTCTATCTGCAGTTCATGTTGCACCAGGTACCAAGGATCTCCATTTCCATTGGACAATGAAGATAAGAGTTTTCTTGGTGGTAACAGATGGTGCTGCTGTTGCTTTGCTTCTAGATCTGCTCTTCCTGGTATTCTGGTGTAGGTGGTCAAGCCTGAAATGCTGATGATGGGAGAGATTTTTTTTCTGTTCCTCATGTGCTCTAGAAATCTGCTTCTCATAGGACAATGAACCTCAGTATCCCCAAAAGGGCATAGTAGCATACCACAGGAATGCAGCTGGCTTGTTTAGGTGCTGTCAGACACTCCATTCCTGCTAACATGACATCAGCAGCTTAGTCCTGTAGTGATCATCTCTGACAGAGGGGAAGGGGCTGTTTGCTCAGACACAGTATAAATGATGGAGAAGAAACAAACTTCCTCCAAGTGCAGTACTCCCATACGGTACATTCAAAACTGAGGTTTGCACTGGTATGTTGACACCAGTGACTCCATCTCCTCCAGAGGTGCCAACTTTACATTAAACTCAGAGGTGTGACAAGAGAGACTGAGTTTGAACTGAAGGGCACTGCACTTCAGAGACTCCATATTTGTGACTTCCCTCAACAGAAAATATATCTGCATGGCCCACCACAGGATACAAAGGGCATACAGGACCCACAGGTTTCATGTTAGTAATGTTAAACATTTTTCAGGTGTGGTGTGTGGGCATGTGTTTAATTGTCAGCACTAAATCCAAACAGGCCAATACAGATACTAGCAGTCACATGGCCAGAGGGCCTGAAAAGCTGAATGTGTAGAAAGTTTCAGTAAGAATTTACTGAGTCAGACACTGAGTAGGTTCAGTTTTGCCTCTTCCCTGTGGTAAGAGAGAAGCAAGGACAGATGGCAAGCATCCTACCTTTTATGCACCCATAGAGGAGCATACGGCACATATGTGGACCAGACAGACGTGGCTATTAAAAGACCCTCTGGTCTCACAGACATGAGATGCATGCGCTTTTACTGAAGGATCCACACTGACACATACTAGAAGAAGAAATACACATTATCCTAATGCACCAACAGCAGCAGGAAATTTGGAGTTGTAATAAAAAAAAATGATCATCCTTAAAACAGATGACGACTTACTGGACAAATAAAACAGATCAGTTGCTCATTCTAACCCACTTCTAATCTGCCTCAAGCAATACAATTGTGAAAAGTAAAATAGAGTCTGTAAAAGGCTTAAGGCAGGTATGCTCTGTTCCACCTGACAGTCCCCTGGTGTTTGCCTGGCAGACCAACCCTTCCTTGCAGAGCTCATTCAAAATCCTGGAACATTTATGAACTCCATTCATTGCAATAAGCGCTCTGGATGGTGTTGTGCTCAGCCCTTGAACTGCAAAGCCTCCTAACAATACAGAAAGAAGTACAGCATCTCATATAAATGCCTCTAAACTTAAGGCCTCAAACAGCTGCATTGCTTATTTATGGCATCATTTTCAATGATCTAAGAGGCTGTTTCCTACTTGGCAAGACTAATAATGAAACTGGCTTTGCTGCCATTTATGTGTTTTACGGTAGTACCTACAAGAACAAGTCTGGTTGTCCAAGGACCCATTATGTTGGTCCGATTTTAAAAGCTTTCCAAAGTGAGCAAACAAGCCCACAGAATAGTAGAGAAATGCCTTTAAAAGTTAACAATTTGAAATAGATGCGAGTGGTAATTACCTTTTCTGCATGGAGACCCACCTCTTACTTCTGAGGAACTGACACCAATGCTGGTTGTTTCAGATCTTTCCAGCTTCAAGTAAAAGAAAACAAAATATAAAAAGTGAAGTTAATTTTTCACGCACATTCACATACACCAGGGAAGTCAAAATATGCTCTTCTTGCTTCCCCCATCCCTATATTTAAAGTGCATTCTAGTCTAAGGTTGCTTCACAAAAATAAGTATGTGAAATCTGCTAGTGAAGTTCACCTCCCATCTCCTTCTTCAGCCTCTCCACCTTCTCTTTTCTGGGAGGTGGAACAAGGAATGTTTTGTGGGCAAGACCAAGGAATAAATTAAAATGGAAGATTAACAAATTCATCTTGAATTGATATGTTAAAAACATATTTAAAAATGACTAAGCTTACATTTTTTTAAACAAATCACACCTCAATATACATGACATTTCTTTGAAAATTTATAGCTTATTACAATACAAATATTTTGTGAATTTGCTTTATTATTTGGCAAACAGTCTAACCGGATGCATTGCTAATACTGTACAATTCCTTTCATAGAGAATAGTGTAATATTCCTATCAGAGAAAGAGGTGTAAAGTGATTTAGAAACTCACATAGTAATACACCTTTCTTTTCTGGTACCATTTTGCTTTTTCTCCCCCTCCCCCCCATACTGTGTATCATTTATTCAATTAAAGAGACATGTGGGCAGCTTTTAGTTTGACTAGTTCTAGAGTACTACTTTACCACCAGGGTAAACAACCCTCATCTAGTGAGAAGTATGTGGAATTTTTAATGTTCCTATAGCATTTATGACCTTTTCACATCTGGAAGACTGAACCTTGACCAGCACAGTGATCCTAGTTGGGAAACAGAGTCATTAATGAAACAAACCATCCACTGGATGATCAGTTTCTTGTCGCATCTAAGCTTTCCTTATAGATTTCCCAGTAAAGTGATGACTTGGTCTTCTCTGCTGAATTCAGAGGCCAAGACAAGATTACAAAGAGACTGGGACAAGCTAAGCTAAAGAGTATCTAGCACTACCTGCAATGTTTTAAGCTAAGTGCTCACAGTAGGTTTAATTCAGATTTATTTAAATTAAGACTAAATTAATTAAAATGAATTAAGATTTATTTAAATTAAAATAAAAGATGCTTGGCCCAATGCCACCATTTTGAAAAAAAGCTGTGAGGTTCCTACAGAAGTATCCAAGCTTGTATTCTTTACAATGGAAGCACATGCAGATATAACAGTGACATTTTAACTAAGGCTGTACGAAGCTTTGGTAACTGATTTGACTGGGAGGAGATTCAGCGGCCAAATTTCTGAATCTGAATCAAATTGGGACACTCATTAAAAGGTCTGAACCAAATCAGAAGCTTCCAAATTGATTCAGAGAGATTTGGCACCGATTCGGAGATTCGACCATAGAATAAACAGGCAGCAGTTCTCAACCACGCTGGACACAGCTGCCTC